TGGGAATTCCTGTGCTGGTCAATCCCAAAAATATTTTAATGGATTTGGATCCAGCTCCAGAGCTGAGTGCACAAATCCCAGCCCAGGCTTGGGAACCTGGAGGGAAAAAAGCAGGAAATGTGGGAATTCTGTCCCAAAAAAAACGGAGGGAAAAAGAGGAAATGTGGGAATTCGGTCCCAAAAATCCGAGTTTTGATGGGATCTCCCTCTCTTATCACCAAGGATTTTTCCAGGGATAACTGATAAGATTCCCAATGTACTCCCAGATTCCAGGAACAAACGTCATTTTATGGGAATTTTCTGGAATAACCCAGCCTCATCCTGTATATTTCCAAGATTTTCCAATGGATTTCCATCCACACATTGGGAAAATCTCATTTTTTGGGAATTTCAGAAACTCTGGGATGACTCCAATGGATCCTGACCAAGGAACACCACGGGAATTCTTGGACTTCTCCAAATAGGGAAGAAATTCCATTAAAAACAGGGAGGCAGGCAATAAAAAAATCCAGGAATTGTCCTGTCCAGCTTCCCTGCAGATGTGGAAATTTGGGAAGAGGGATTTTCCCTGGCAAATTCGATGCTGAAGGAAAAGCAGAGCACAGGAAAAGTTGGGAATTTTTCAAACCCAAACATGATCCCTCCACCTGGATGGGAGGTGGAGCCAAGAATTCCTGGAATTCTGGAATGGTTTGGGTGGGAACGATCTTTGGGACCATCCAATTCCAATTCCCACATTCCCAGTTTGCTCCAAACTGGCCTCGGACAATTCCAGGGATGGAACAGCCACAATTCCAAACCCTTTTCCAACAAAATCCCAAAAATCCTGAGGCCATCCCACCAAACCATCCCTAGATCCCAATTTTTTTGTTTCCCCCTATATCCAGCAGAGAATTTTTCCTTGGATTTCCAGCCAGGAAATTTGGATTTCGGGAAGTTCAAAGCGGAGCGGCTCCAAAAATCCCACAAAACTTTTCCCGGTGACCTGAAATCCCAAAAATCCCAATGGAAAAATCCCGGCCTGACCTGAAATGAAGGAATATAGCCCGGGAAAAAGCGGGATTTGGGACAGATGGCATTCCCGAGGGCTCGGATAATTTTCCAGCTGGGAACCAGCTGCATCCTGGCTTCTTCCCAACCCTTCCCAAATGACCTTCCCAGAGGAAAAACCAGGAGAAGGAGGAGAAATTCCTGACCTTGGGATGAAGGAAAAACTTCCCAGGAATTCCGAGCCCTGGAGAAGCCACGGGAATGAGCTGATCCTGGGAAATGTGGTGAAAAACGGGAATATGGGATCGGGAAGGATCCCGGGAAGGACGTGGAGCTGATGGAGCAAATCCAGAGGAGGCACCGGGAGGATTCAAGGGATGGAGCTGGGGGGAAAAGCTGGGAAAATTGGGAATGTTCTCCTGGAGAAGGGAAGGATCCAGGGAGAGCTTCCAGCACATTCCAGGGCCTGAAGGGGCTCCAGGAGAGCTGAAATTTGGGAAAGGCATGGAAGGATGGGACACAGGGAATGGCTTCCCACTGGGAAAAGGGAAATTGGGGTGGGATTTTGGGAATTTGGAATTCCTGGCTGGGCTGGAATTGCCAGAGCAGCTGGGGCTGCCCCTGCATCCCTGGAAGTGCCCAAGGAAAGGCTGGAGCAGCCTGGGATTGTGGGAATTTCCCTGTCCTTGGAATGGGATGGGAATGATCTCACAGATAGGGATGAGATCCATCATCCCCCAAATCATTCCAGGATTCTGGAGATTCCCAGGCTGCCCCTTGGCTGGAATTCCTGAAATTCCAGCCTCATCCAGGAATCCCTTCCATTCCCAAACCTTTTCCCATCCTTCCAGCTCCATTCCCAACATTCCCGTTCCCAGGATTCTCCACCATCCCCCCACAATCATTCCAGAACCCTGGAGAGTTCCCTCGGCCGGAATTCCTCCAATTCCAGCCTCTCCCAACATTCCCGGCCTCTCCCCGAGCTCAGGGCTCCGGCTGGCTCCGGGATTTTCCCGAATCCACGGAACATGACAAAGCAGCGCCGTTCCGGAGCTGCCAAATTCCCAAAAATCCACGGATCAGCCTCTCCTGGAGCAATTCCATGGGGGAAGGGATTGGCTTTGAGCCCCTCATCCTCCCGAACTCCGGGAATAATCCAGCGGGAAGCGATTCCCGCTCCCAGGGGTCACTCCACCTCCTCCTCCTCCCTCTTCCCACGGGTTGTTTTTCCCTGGAGATCACAAGCCAGGAATTTTGGGATGGAGAAGCGAATCCCAAGGATTTTGTGGCAGCGGCTCCAGGACCACCCACTCCACGGCAGCACGAGGAAACGCGGGGAAAAGGCCGGGGGGGAAACATCGGGAAAAGCATTTCACATCCCAGGAATCCTTCCCGGATCCTGGAATTCCACACCTGCGTCCCAGGCATGCCGAAATCCCACGTGAAACCCTTGGAATTCCAAGGAATCCACAGGAATTCCTCAGCACAGCCCCCCCCACCCTTCCCAGCCGGCTCCCGCTCTCCGCAGGGAAAACAAATCCACGGGAAGGGCAGCGGGAATGTGGGAGCCGCAATTCCAAGCTGGGAATATTCCCGGTCTCCCTCTCCCGTCATTCCAGAGGCTCCAGCCCCGTGTCGTGCCAGGAATCCACAAAAAAACCGCGGAGGAGGGAGAGGAGGAGAAGCTCCCGAAACTTTCCGGGGTGGGGGGGAAAAACTCTGGAATTCTCCGGCTGGCAGGGAATTCCCTTCCTCTGGAAGCCGGCAGCTGGAATTCCGAACTTCCAGCAGAATTCCCAGCCCAACCCCACGGCAGCGCTGCCGTTGTCCAGGAAAATTCCCCTGGCATTATCCATGAGAATTTCCCCGGTTTTATCCATGAAAATTTCCTTGGTGTTATCCACAAACATTCCCCTGCTGTTATCCATTAATTTTTTTTCCCCTGGCGTTATCCATGAAAATTTCCCGGCTCCCGCTGCAGCTCGGGAAGCGGAGCCGGGAGAAGCCGGAATGGGCGAGGGGGGTTGGGAATTCGGGATGTGGGGAAGGGATTTGGGAGCGGAGCCGGGATGGGCGCGGGGGGGACAAGGACACGGCCCCGGAGGGACGGGAATGGAAACGCCGGGAATGGGAACGGAGTCGGAGCGGGGCCGGGAGAGCGGCCCCAAAACCGGGAGGGGACCCCAAAACCGGGAGGGGGATCACAAAAACGGGATGGGGACCCCAAAACCAGGAGAGGGGCCCCAAAACTGGGAGGAGACCCCAAAACCGGGATTGGGGACCCCACAGAGCTCTGGTCCCAAAAACAGGGATGGGGACCCCAAAACCGGGAGAGGATCCCAAAACCGGGAGGGGGATCCCACAGAGCTCAGGCCCAAAAACCGGGAGGGGACCCCAAAACCGGGATTGGGGATCCCAAAAACGGGATGGGGGCCCCACAGAGCTCCGGTCCCAAAACCGGCAAGGAGACCCCAAAACAGGATTGGGGACCCCAAAACCAGGCTGGGGATCCCACAGAGCTGTGGCCCCAAAACCGGGAGGGGGATCCCAAAACCGGGAGGGGACCCCACAGAGCTCCAGCCCTAAAACCAGGCTGGGGACCCCAAAACCAGGCTGGGGACCCCAAAGCCACAGGTAGGGACCCCCAGAGCTGCAGCCCCAAAACCAACCAGGGCACCCCACAGCCACTCGGGAAACACCACGGAGCTTCAGCCCCACACCTGGGCTGGGGACCCCAAAAAGCTGCAGCCCCACAAGCAGACTGGACACCCCACAAAGCTGCAACCCCAAAACCAATCAGGGGACCCCACAGAGCTGCAGCCCCACAGCCGAACTGGGGACCCCAAAGCGCTGCAGCCCCACAGGTGGGTTGGAGACCCCAAAAGCTGCAGCCCCACAGGTGTGCTGGAGACCCCAAAAACTGCAACCCCACAACTGGGCTGAAGACCAGCCAGGTGAGCTGGACACCCCACACCGAGCTTGAGACCCCACAGCTGGGATGGAGACCCCAAAAACTGCAGCCCCACAGCTGGGTTGGCACCCCACAGCTGCAGCCCCACAGGTGGGCTCAAGTCCCCAAAAGCTCCAGCCCCACAGGTGGGTTGCAGACCCCACAGCTCTGCAGCCCCACAGGTGGGCTGGACACCCCACAAAGCTGCAACCCAACAAGCTGGAGACCCCACAAATGGACTGGAACACCCCAAGGCCCTGCAGCCCCACAAGCAGCCCGCAGACCCCACAGCCCTGCAGCCCCACGGGTGGGCAGGACACCCCAAATTCTGCAGCCCCACAGTGGGCAGGACACCCCAAATTCTGCAGCCCCACAGGTGGGCAGGACACCCCACAGCCCTGCAGCCCCACAACCAGACTGGACACCCAAAGCAGCCTGCAGACCCCACCCACAGGTGGGCTCAAGTCCCCAAAAGCTCCAGCCCCACAGGTGGGTTGCAGACCCCACAGCTCTGCAGCCCCACAGGTGGGCTGGACACCCCAAATTCTGCAGCCCCACAGCGGGCAGGACACCCCACAGCTCTGCAGCCCCACAGGTGGGCTGGACACCCCAAATTCTGCAGCCCCACAGCGGGCAGGACACCCCACAGCCCTGCAGCCCCACAACCAGACTGGACACCCAAAGCAGCCTGCAGACCCCACAGCCTCTGAGCCCCACAGGTGGGCAGGACACCCCAAAATCTGCAGCCCGCAGACCCCACAGCTCTGCAGCCCCACACCTGCACAGCGAACCCGAGGCACCGCAGCCCCACAGGTGGGCAGGAACCCCAAAAGCCTCAGCCCCACAGGTGGGCAGGAACCCCAATCCCTCCAGCTCCCCATCCATCCCTCCATCCATCCATCCCTCCATCCATCCCAGCCGCGGCCCCGCCACTGCCGCATCCAGCACCGGGGGCAGCACCCGCCGCTCCTCCCGCCCTCCCCGGCCGCTCCCCGCCGCCGTCCCGGTGTCCGCGTCGCTGTCCCCGTGTCCCCGCCGCCGTCCCGGTGTCCCCGCTCACCCTTGACGGCCTCGCCGCGGTTGAGCTGGATCTCGCCATCGCCCTGCGGCGCGTAGCTCTTCACCACGATGAACTTGCGGCCGGGCACGGCGCTGTAAAGCTTCCGCTTGGGCCCGCGCAGCGGGGCGGGCGCGGCGTGGGGCGCGGGCTCGGTCCCATGGGAGAGGGAACGGGAATGGGTGTGGGACCATGCCACAGCCATCCCGGCACCGATCCCGATCCCGCTCCCCGCTCCTGATCCCGCTCCCGCTCCCGCTCCCGGATCCCGATCCCGATCCCGGTCCCGGTCCCGGCGGGGCCCGCCCGGAGCCGCCCCCTGGCGGCCGCTGCCGGCGCTGCCCCGGGGAGGAACCGGTGCGGGAATGGGAGTGGGAATGGGAGTGGGAGTAAGACTGGGATGAGATGGGATCACACGAGTGGGATCGGGTGTGGATCGGGATCGGGATGGGGGCAGCGAAGGGAGCGGCTCCGGGGCCGGGAGGACGCGGCGGGGAGGGAGCGGGATGGGAGCGGGATGGAGGGACAGGGAGGGAGGGAGCACGGGAACAGGAGGGACGGTCCCTGGCTCCCGTTCCCGGCCCAGGGGTGCCCGTGGTGCCTGTTCCCGGTGTCCCCAGTTCCATATTTCCCCCCACAATTCCATGTTTTTCCACCCCAGTTCCATATTTTCCCTTCAAATTCCGTATTTTCCCCCCAAAATTTTTGTGGAGTAACTGCAGAAATTAGGGGAAACGGGGGAATTGCGGGAATTAGGGGAATTCGGTAATTAGGGGCTCACGGGGCTGTGGGAATGCGGGAATTAGGGGAATTGCGGGAATTGCGGGAATTAGGGGACTGTGGGAATGCGGGAATTGCAGGCGCTCCCGGGAATGCTCCGCTGGGGAATCTCCGGGCGCGCTGAGGGGACAGAGCCCCGCCCAGACACAGCGACACCGCTGCCACCCCTGTCCCCTGTGCCACCTGTGCCCGCCGCCACCCACAGCGACACTGGGTGCCACTGTCCCCTGTGCCACCCCTGTGCCCACTGCCACCTGTGCCATCTCTGGATGCCACTGTCCCCTGTGCCACCCCTGTGCCCACTGCCACCCACAGTGCCACCGTCACCTGTGCCACCCTTGTGCCCTGGTGCCACTCGTGCCATCTCTGGATGCCACTGTCACCTGTGCCACCCCTGTGCCTCAGTGCCGCTTGTGCCAGCCTGCGGCCCACTGCCAGTTGTGACAATCTGCCACCCACAGTGACACTCTGTGCTGCTGTCACCTGTGCCACCCTGTGCCCCTTGTGACAATCTCTGCCCCTCTGCCACCCACAGTGACACTTTGTGCCATTGTCACCTGTGCCACCCTGTGCCCACTGACTCCCAAGGTCACCTGTGCCAACCATGCCCCAGTGCCACCACAGTGACACTGACTGCCACCACCAGTTGTGCCAACCTGTGCCACCTGTGCCACCCCTGTGCCCCACTGTCACCCACAGCGACACTCTGCCACTGTCACTTGTGCCAACCTGTGCCCCAGTGCCACCTGTGCCACTCTGTGTCCCCAGTGCCAGTTGTGACAATCTGTGCCCCACTCTGCCACCCACAGTGACACTCTGTGTCACTGTCACCTGTGCCAGCCTGTGTCCCAGTGCCACCAGTGCCACCCCTGTGCCCCACTGTCACTTGTACCACCCTGTGCCCGCTGCCACCCACAGTGACACTTTGTGCCACTGTCACCTGTGCCAACCATGCCCCAGTGTCACCTGCGTCAACCTGTGCCCCAGTGCCACCCACAGTGACACTGACTGCCACCACCAGTTGTGCCAACCTGTGCCACCAGTGCCAACCTATGGCCCGGTGTCACCTGTGCCACCCTGTGCCCGCTGCCACCCACAGTGACACTGTGTCACTGTCACCTGTGCCACCCTGTGCCCCAGTGTCAGTTGTCACAATCTGTGTCCCTGTGCCACCCACAGTGACACTGTGCCACTGTCACCTGTGCCACCCTGTGCCCCAGTGTCAGTTGTCACAATCTGTGTCCCTGTGCCACCCACAGTGACACTGTGTCACTGTCACCTGTGCCACCCTGTGCCCCAGTGTCAGTTGTCACAATCTGTGTCCCCGTGCCACCCACAATGACACTGTGTCACTGTCACCTGTGCCACTCTGTGACCCTTGTGACAATCTGTGTCCCTGTGCCACCCACAGTGACTCTGTGCCACTGTCACCTGTGCCACCCTGTGTCCCAGTGCCACCCACAGTGACACTGACTGCCACCACCGCTTGTGCCATCCCTGTGTCCCAGTGTCACCTCTGTCACCCCGTGCCCTCCTCCCGTGCCCCGGGCTGAGCCTTTTCCCAGCTCCTTCCGGAAATTTCCCGCCTTTCCCGGCTCCTTCCGGAATTTTCCCTCCTTTCCAGCTCCGCTCCCTTCTCTCCTGGCAGGAAGAGCCCCAAGAATTCCCGTGGAAAAAGTGTGGGAAGAGCTCGGCTCTCAGCGCGAATCCCAGAATTCCAGAGCTTGGGAAAGAATCCCAAGGACACCGAGCCCGTCCTGGGCCCCCCAGCAGAGCCCCGAGCGGAATTCCAGGAATTCTTTGGACACCTGCAGGGATGGGCGCTCCAAACCTCCCTGGGCAGCCCCTCCAAGGCCTGACCCCCCCATTTCCATGGGGAGAAAAATTCCATAAGGAAAAAATTCCATGAGGAGAAAAATTCCATGAGTAAAAAAATCCCATCAGCAAAAAATTCCACGAGGAAAAAAAATAAAAAAATTCCAGGAGCGCAGCTGCCGGGATGGGGTTGGATGTTTTCCATGGGAGCAAATTCCTGGGCGTTTTCCCAGCGGAGTTTTCCCTTCATCCCTTTTATCTCCCCGCTCCAGGCCCTCATTTCATGAATCCCGAGCTCATCCCGGATTTCCGAGCGGCAGCCGGATAAATCCAGCAGCGGGGATTAAGCGGCCCGTGAGATTCCCAGAATTCCCAGGATTTCTCCACGCTCGGTGGCCACATCCTCCCGCCGGGATTCCCACGGGATTCCGAAGGGAAAGGGAATTCTGGGAAGGAGCAGCAGCTCTTCCTCCCAACCTGGGTTTTGCGCTCCATGGAATTTTTTGTCCTGGATTGCCTCCATCCCGTTGGAATTCCAGGTGGGATTGATGGGACTCCATGTCCGATTCCAGGAAATTCCAGCCCATGGAAGCGTCCAGCGGGATTTGGGCACCTGCTGGTGCTTCCATTGGGAATTGTCCCATTCCAGGATGGAAAAACCTCCACGGGAATAAACTTGGAATAAATCCCCAGAGAATTCCCATTCCAGGTGGATGAATGCACAATATTCCCAAAAATCGTTTCCGATGCATCCAACGATCCCAAAAATCCAGGACGTTTTAATTTCCATGGAATTTCATGGGAACGATCAGAAGCGAATTCCAGGCGAAGGATTCTGGGATTGGTTTAATCAACGCTTCCCTTGGGAATTCCCAGAATTCCCAGAATTTCTGGCTCTGTTTTCCAGAATTCCTGACCCCTCTTTTCCAGGGAAAGGAGCCCAAATCCTGGGAAGAGCATCTGGAGGGAATTGGGGAGGGGGGCCCATCCTGGAATAAAGGAGGATCCAGAATTCCATGGCAGAGGCAGCAGCCAGGTGGGATTTGGGATCTGCTCCCAGGAAATCCTCGAGCTGTGCCAGAGGAATTTTAGGTTGGATATTGGGAAAAATTCCTGAATTTTCACACAGCATTAGGAAGAATTCCTGAATTCCCAAACACAATTAGGAAGAATTCCTGAATTCCCAGAGAATTAGGGAAAACCTGAATTTTCACAGAGAATTAGGAAGAATTCCTGCTCTTAGGAGAATTCCACCCTCTGGGAGCATCCCGGGATTCTCCTTCTCCGCACTTGGACACGGTTCCAGGATTTCTGTTTCCCAGGATTTCCGGCCCCTCTTTCCCAGGTGGGATCTGGGGGTGGCACCCGGAGCTGCCGGTGGCCACGGATCCGGATTCAGCCCCAGGGATTCCCAAACATTCCCAGGACCTTCTCCCAACATTTCTGGGACCCTTTGCTCAACATTCCCAGGATTTTTTGCCCAGCATTTCCAGGATCCTTCTCCCAGCATTTCCAGGATTGTTCTCCCAGTGTTTCCAGGATTTTTCACCCAGCATTTCCAGCATCTTTTCCCCAGCATTCCCAGGATCATTCTCCCAACATTTCCAGGATTGTTCTCTCAGAGTTTCCAAGATCCTTTCCCTAAAGTTTCCTTTTCCCCAACATTCCCAGGATCATTTCCTAACATTCCCAGGATCTCTTCCCAACATTCCTGGGATTGTTCTCCATGGACACGGACACCTTTCCCCATCCCAGGTTGCTCCAAGCCCCATCCAACCCGGATCTGGGAACTTCCAGGGGTGGGATTTGACTCCAAACACCACCTGGAGACCTGGAATTGTTCCTGGAAAAATCCAAACCTCTGCATCCCACCGGGAAATGCCCATGGAGGGAATTCCCACAATTCATTTCATTCCCTAAATCAAACACCAGCAGGAAAAAAAAAATCCCAGGAATTGCTGGGAATTCCTGGTGTTCCTTTGGTTGATGGCAAAGAGGGAAAACTTTCCCATGGATGTGGAAATTCCAAAGTGCTGAAATCTGGGATAAGCAAGGAGATTTTGGGAAGATCCCAGCTGGAAAGGAGCAGCAGGAATGAAGGAAGGATTTTGGGATGAGCCAGGCCGGACACATCGGGAATGTTGAGGAGGGATTAAAGCATTCCAAGAATTATTTTGGAAACTCTGGTCGTGTGTCCAGGAGAAGGGGAAAAAAATGGGAATAAGGAAAACTGGAGGAATTCAGACACTGAATTCCCTGAGGGGATAAAAAAACCTGGAGCAAACAAAGCCTGGATGGAAGAAATGTGAGATAGGAGGGAATTGCCTTGGATCGGTGGGAAAAGGAGCTGATCCCAAAAATTCTGGCTCTTCCCAGATCCAGGGGATGATTCCCTGCTCCAAAGCCTCCCTTCCCAAAATGGAAAAATCTGGGATGCGCCGGGAGCTGGGCAGAAAAAGCAGGATGGATCCAAGATCCTTCCCAAATCCAGAGGGCTCCAAAAACTGGGAATGAGGCTGGGATGAACGTAAGGAATGAAATATCCGGAGGGATGATCCCAGCACGAGGAGTTGGATGGGGAAACTCGTGGTGTTGGAGTGGGATTGGGAAAAGCGCGGAGGCTCCGGAGGCTCCGGCACGTGGGGAATGAGTCAGAGTCACGGCCGGGAGGGAGGGCGGAGGGATCCAGCTAAAACCTGGAAAAAACACTTGGAAAAGTTCTGCTGGCCCAGCCCTGCTGCTCCTGGGAACGGCTGAGGGATCCCCTGGAATTCTGGGAGCAGCTCTGGAGCAGGAAAAGGGAAGGGAGGGAGCTGGGACAGGGGCTGGAAAACCTCCCTTGGAATAAAAAACTTGGACAACACTAAATATTCCTGATATTCCCTGGAAAACCTGCCCCAGAATCCATTTTTCTCCAGGATTTTTCCAGGAAAATGTGACAAGATTCCGGTTATTATGGATATCCCTTGCTGTGGAGTGAAGGAGTTTTTGCTGGGAATTAAAACTTCCAAGATTTTTCCCAACTTGAGCTGTTCAGACTGCAAACCTGGGAATTTCTCCTGCCCCAGCTCCATGGAATGAATTCCATGATCCCTCTATCCCTGGAAAAACCTGGAAATAAAGGAGCAAAGAGCTCTTTCCTAGGGATATTTTCCCTGCAAAAGGTTGGGAATCACAAGCCAGCTCCAGGAATCCTTGGGAAGTTTGGACAAGGAGTTAGGCAGAGCTGCTCCAGGGAATTTTGGGAATATTTCCAGGACTATGGATTTTAAAATCCCGCACTATTTTTGACCTCCCAATGCCTCCATGTCCCACTCTGGATCTGCCTCCGGCACATCCCGAATTCCTGAGCTTCCCAAATTCCAAGGCCAGGTTGGAGCGACCTGGGATAGTGGGAGGTGTCCCTGCCCTTGGAATGGGGTGGAATTGGATCAGCTTTAGGATCCTTCCCCTTCGAGGATTCCACAATTCCAACAGAATCCTCTGAATCCAAATCCGGACCCCGTGGTCACCACAGGGATGTCCCAAAATCCCCGGAACCCGTGACCATTCCTGATCCCAGGCAAACCAACATTCCCATGGGACATGGCTGGCAGGGATGAGGAGCAGCGGGATAACACCAGATAAAATCCTGATCCCAATCCCAATCCCGATCCCAATCCCAATCCCAATCCCACCAGAACCACCACATGCCATATCCATGATATCCACGTAATCCACGATATCCCTGATATCCATGAATCCACTCTATCCATGGTATCCATGATCCAAGCATGGAGTGGCGGGAGAACCCAGAGAAAAACTCTCAGGGAAAAACCCAGGGAAAATCTCAGGGAACAACGGAATCCAAGTATGGGACAGAAGGAAAACCCAGGGAAGAACCAAATTTGGCTGGGATGGATGGAGGGAAAAACTCATGGAAAATCCAGGGAAAAACTGGATCTGACCTCAGAATTGCAGGAAAAACCCACGGAAAACCCAATGACCACCATAACCACGCTCCTCATTGGAACAACGAACCTTTCCCACTCTTCCCTCTTCCCACCCCACAGCCCCCAATCCATAGGATCCATTTCCAGCTCTAATTCCTTCCACATTCCCCAATCCATGGGATCCCATTCCCATCACTAACTCCTCCCACATCCCAACCCAATCCATGGGATCCCATTCCCGTCACTAATTCCTTCCACAACCCCAATCCATACGATCCTATTCCCAACTCCAATTCCTTTCACACACACCCCCAATCCATGGGATTCCATTTCCAGCTCTAATTCCTTTCACAATCTCCCAATCCATGGGATCCAATTCCCATCACTAACCCTTCCCACATTCCAACCCAATCCATGGGATCCCATTCCCATCTCTAGCTCCTCCCACACCCTAACCCAATCCCCGGGATCCCATTCCCATCACTAACCTTTCCCACATTCCAACCCAATCCCCAGGATCCCATTCCCATCACTAACCCTTCCCACATTCCAACCCAATCCCCAGGATCCCATTCCCATCACTAACCCTTCCCACATTCCAACCCAATCCATGGCATCCCATTCCCATCACCAACCCCTCCCACGCCCCAGCTCCATGATCCCTCTATCCCTGGAAAAACCTGGAAATAAAGGAGCAAAGAGCTCTTTCCTAGGGATATTTTCCCTGCAAAAGGTTGGGAATCACAAGCCAGCTCCAGGAATCCTTGGGAAGTTTGGACAAGGAGTTAGGCAGAGCTGCTCCAGGGAATTTTGGGAATATTTCCAGGACTATGGATTTTAAAATCCCGCACTATTTTTGACCTCCCAATGCCTCCATGTCCCACTCTGGATCTGCCTCCGGCACATCCCGAATTCCTGAGCTTCCCAAATTCCAAGGCCAGGTTGGAGCGACCTGGGATAGTGGGAGGTGTCCCTGCCCTTGGAATGGGGTGGAATTGGATCAGCTTTAGGATCCTTCCCCTTCGAGGATTCCACAATTCCAACAGAATCCTCTGAATCCAAATCCGGACCCCGTGGTCACCACAGGGATGTCCCAAAATCCCCGGAACCCGTGACCATTCCTGATCCCAGGCAAACCAACATTCCCATGGGACATGGCTGGCAGGGATGAGGAGCAGCGGGATAACACCAGATCCAATCCTGATCCCAATCCCAATCCCGATCCCAATCCCAATCCCACCAGAACCACCACATGCCATATCCATGATATCCACGTAATCCACGATATCCCTGATATCCATGAATCCACTCTATCCATGGTATCCATGATCCAAGCATGGAGTGGCGGGAGAACCCAGAGAAAAACTCTCAGGGAAAAACCCAGGGAAAATCTCAGGGAACAACGGAATCCAAGTATGGGACAGAAGGAAAACCCAGGGAAGAACCAAATTTGGCTGGGATGGATGGAGGGAAAAACTCATGGAAAATCCAGGGAAAAACTGGATCTGACCTCAGAATTGCAGGAAAAACCCACGGAAAACCCAATGACCACCATAACCACGCTCCTCATTGGAACAACGAACCTTTCCCACTCTTCCCTCTTCCCACCCCACAGCCCCCAATCCATAGGATCCATTTCCAGCTCTAATTCCTTCCACATTCCCCAATCCATGGGATCCCATTCCCATCACTAACTCCTCCCACATCCCAACCCAATCCATGGGATCCCATTCCCGTCACTAATTCCTTCCACAACCCCAATCCATACGATCCTATTCCCAACTCCAATTCCTTTCACACACACCCCCAATCCATGGGATTCCATTTCCAGCTCTAATTCCTTTCACAATCTCCCAATCCCCGGGATCCAATTCCCATCACTAACCCTTCCCACATTCCAACCCAATCCATGGCATCCCATTCCCATCACTAACCCTTCCCACATTCCAACCCAGTCCCCAGGATCCCATTCCCATCACTAACCCTTCCCACATTCCAACCCAATCCTGGGGATCCCATTCCCATCACTAACCCTTCCCACATCCCAACGCAATCCACGACATCCCATTCCCATCACCAACCCCTCCCACGCCCCAGCCCAATCCCCGGGACGCCATTCCCGATCCCATACCTGGCTTTCCCGCGGCTGCTCCGGCGCAGCGAGGGCACCTCGGCCTCCCTCTCCTCCTGCACGCGCTGCAGCGAGGGCGAGCGGCTGTGGGCGCTGCGAGCGCTGCTCGAGCTGGCCAAGCTCCCGTCTCCGGCCGCAATTCCTGCGGCCGCTTCCTGCATCTGGACCAGGAGCTGCGGCGGGAGGCTCCGGAGGGACGGCACCGGGGAATAGGAGGCGCGGCTCTCAGCTTTCAGGTTGTTGTCACTGGCCGAGCGCTGCAGGACGCGCGGCGACGCCAACCCGCCGGAACCGAGGAGCCGGCGGCGCTTGGTGTAGCTGGGAGTTTCTCGGAAAGGCACTGGGAATGAAAAGCGGGAATGCGGGGTTAGGTGTTGGGAGTTGTGGGGAAAGATGGGAGAGGGTGGGGGAGAAGGTTGGGAATGGGTGTGGAGTTGGGTTGGGAAGAAGGTTGGGAGTTTCTTGGAAAGGCACTGGGAATAAAAAACAGAAGGATGGGATAAAGTAGGAATCTCAGGCTGAAAAAGATGGGAATATGGGTTTAGGTGGGAATCTAATCCCAGAAGGATGGGATTAGGTGGAAATCTCAGGCTGAAAAAGATGGGAATATGGGTTTAGGTGTTGGGAATGTGGTTGTGGGAAAAGATGGAAGAGGGTGAGGGAGAAGGTAGGGAATGGGTGTGGAGTTGGGTTGGGAAGAAGGTTGGGAGTTTCTTGGAAAGGCACTGGGAATAAAAAACAGAAGGATGGTATTAGCTGGGAATCTCAGGCCTAAAAAAGATGGGAATATGGGATTAGGTGTTGGGAATGTGGTTGTGGGAAAAGATGGAAGAGGGTGAGGGAAAAGGTTGGGAATGGGTGTGGAGCTGGGTTGGGTAGAAAGTTGGGAGTTTCTCAGAAACACACTGGGAATCAAAAATTGGAAGATGGGATTAGGTGGGAATCTCGGGCCCAAAAAAATGGGAATATGGGATTAGGTGGGAATCTAAACCCCCCAAAAATGGGAATACAGGATTAGGTGTTGGGAGTGCAGTTGTGGAAAAGAAGGGAGTGGAGGAGAAGGTTGGGAATTCTTGTGGAGCTGGTTTGGGAAGAAGGGAATGGTCTCCATCTGCCCCCAGCTCCTCTCCCAGCACAGGGAATCCATGGGATCCAACCACGGATCAGGGCTGGGAAGGGTTTGGAAGTGCCATCTCAGGAGGCTCTGATGGACCAAGCCAGGACCAGTGGAATTCCCAACAATCCACGTCCGGCTGCCGCTGGGATCAACTTCCGCAAATCCCGGCTGCTCCTCCTATTCCAAGTCCTTATTCCACAGCTCCAGGAATGTGCCAAGAGAAAGATGGGAATAACCAACACATGGAATAAATCACCAGCCACTCCCTGTCTTGAATTCCTTCCCAATTCTTGGGATTGCTGGGGAAAAGTGACCTTCCAAATCCAACTGGAAGTGCAAACTCCGGCTCCACTGAGGGACCAGGAGTGGAATCCCCATCCCGGAGGGATTTCAAGTGGAATTTGGGGACATGGATCAGTGGTGGCCTTGGAAGCGCTGGGAATTCCTGGATTCAATGTCTTAAAGGACTTTTCCAGCCTAAACAGATCCAGATGTTACGGAAAGGGACGAGATTCAGCTGTGGGGCCCCTGCACTCCAAACTTCCAGGAAAATGGGATTTTCCAATATTTTGTTTAATTAGCTCGTTCCCATCCTGAAGTTTAACATCCCTAAAATTTGTCCGGTGCCTGTGACAAAATCCAGTAGGAAATCCATAATCGGCCACGTCCAGCCCATTCCTGCTGCCAAAACATTGGGATAAACATGGATTGCTCCTGCTCCGAGCCAGAACAGGGGACAGGGAGCAGGGAATTCCAAGCCCTCTGGATCTGGGATATTCCCAGAGCCACCATCCCAAGGCCACTGCTCCCATGGCACCTTCCAGAGGTGAATCCTGAGGATGCTCCAAGGCCACCAGGAGAAGGAAAATCCTGGGATTGGGAAGGAGCAGCCCAGGCTGAGCATGGCCATGCTCGGAATGTTTTCCTGAGGAATATTTGAGGTTCAAAGTCCGAGGATTTCAGGCTCCTGGAACTCTTCCTGTTGCCGTGGCAACGCCGGGCGTTCGTTCTCCGATGAGTTCCAACCTCGGGTGTGGGAATTTCTCCCAGCAGTGGCGCTTCCCGAATCCTGTTGGCACCCCCTGCCCTCAGCGCCCACATCTGGCCATTCCCAATGGGAAAACCAGACAAAATTATGGAATTTCAGAGGCAGAGGGGTTGGGAAAGCCCTGTCAGACAATGAAACCCAACTAACGCAAAGGCCACCACTGATCCGTGTTCCCAAGGCCACCAGGAAGGAGGGATGCCCCACCAAGGCCACCCTAGTGGGAAAATGGGGTCAAAACAATGGAATTTCAGGGCCAGAGGGGTTGGAAAAGCCCTCCCAAATCATCAATCCCAACCGACGCAAAGGCCACCACTGACCCGTGTCCCCAGGTGACACCAGCAAGGATGGATGTCCCACCAAGGCCATCCCAATGGGAAAGCCGGACCAAAACATGGAATTTCAGAGCCAGAGGGGTTGGGAAAGCCCTCCAAGGCCATCAGTCCCAACCACTGCGAGGCCACCACAGGTCCGTGTCCCCAAGGCCACCAGGAAGGAGGGATGTCCCACCAAGGCCATCTCAGTGGGAAAATTGGGTAAAAATTATGGAATTTTGGAGCCAAAGGGGTTGGAAAAGCCCTCCCAGACGATGAAATCCAATGACTGCAAGGTCACTGGTGATCTGTGTCCCCAAGTGCCACCAGGAAGGATGGATGTCCCACCAAGGCCATCCCAGTGGGAAAAATGGACAAAACAATGGAATTTCGGGGCCACATCCCAATAGGAAAGCCATTCCAAATTATGGAATTTTGGAGCCAAAGGGGTTGGAAAAGCCCTCCCAGACAGTGAAATCCAACCACTGCAAGGCCACCGGTGATCCGTATCCCCAAGGACCACTGGAAGAGGAATGTCCCACCAAGGCTATCCCAATGGGAAAACTGGGAAAAAGTTTATGGGATTTCAGAGCCAGGGAGGTTGGAAAAGCTCTCCCAGACAATGAAATCCAATCAATGCGAGGCCACCGGTGATCCGTGTTCCCAGAGCCGCCGGAAGAGGAATGTCCCACCAAGGCCAGGCGTCACCCAGGCATGGGACACATCTCCAGGAGATGTTTCATTTTGGACTCCATCATTCCTTACAGAAAACCCCTGGAAAAAATCCAGGAAGCGAAAGCCCTGCCTGAAGGACTTCCCAAGAGGGAGCGGCCGCAAGCTGTGCCAGGGCAGGCTGGGATTGGATTTTTGGGATCATTTTTCCATGGAAATGGCGGTCAGGCCTTGACAGGGGCTGCCCAGGGAGCTTTGGAGTTGCCATCCCTGGAGGTGTCCAAGGAATTTCTGGAATTCCACTCAGGGCTCTGGTGGGGATCAGGCCCAGCTTGGACTTGGTGACCTTGGAATTCTTTTCCAACCTCACCGATCCGGGATTCTGGAGTTCCAAACTGGCTGGGTGAGTACAATGATGATGAGGAAGATGAAGAACCACCAAGTCCAAACTCCAGGATCCAGAATCAGGACATTCCCAGACTCCCACCAGACTCCCAATTCTTTGGAAGTTTTCCTCATCCTACCTTCTGGAATCCACAATTCCCAGTGGGAAAATCCCAGGAAGGGAGAGATTATAGTGATGGTGATAATGGTGATGAAGAAGAACCACCAAGTCCAAGCTCCAGGATCCAGGACCAGGACATTTCCAGATTTCCAACTCCATGGAATATTTCCTCATCCCACTTTCTGGAATCCACAATTCCCAGTGGGAAAATCCAGGGAAGGAGACAACAAAGGAGCAAAACTCAGAGCAATTCCCACAACGAGCTCCGGATATTCCTTCCCACACCTTTCCCAGACTTTCTTCCAGGTCTGTTTACCGAGTTTCTCCCGGCAAAACGAATCCCATCCGTTACCATGACAGCGCCGCTCGGAGCAGCCCGATCCCTGTTTTCCAAAGGAAAACACAGATCCCTGTTTTCCAAAGGGGCCTGGATGCTCCCTGAGGGGAGCGGGACACACCTAAAGCTCCCTGAAAAATTCCCAGCCTGGAGATGCTCCAGAGGCTCCCGAAAATTCCTGGCAGCCGGAGGAAGGGAAGCGCAATCAACGCTCCGAGGTTTGTTTGGATTCGCTGCTTCCATGATAATAAATATTCATGGAAAAGCACGAGGAGTGCAAATGTCTGCTCGCTTCCAGGCCACGATTCCATTTTAATCCTGGAAAATTCCAGAGGGAGGAAGTGGGGAAGGAGCCTGGAATGGCTCAGAGGGGAAAAGGGAAAAAGTGTTTCCCGAACCGGAGAATTCCCAGGGCATCTCCAAACTGGAGAATTCCCACATTTCCCACTCTAGAGAATTCCCAGGGCACTTCCCTGCCTGGAGAATTCCCATGGAATCTCCCAAACTGGAGAATTCCCACAGCACATCCCAGACGGGTGAATTCCCAGGGCACTTCCCTGCCTGGAGAATTCCCACATTTCCCACGCTGGAGAATTCCCGGGGCATTTTCCAAACTGATGAATTCCCACAGTACATCCCAGACTGGAAAATTCCCACAACATTCCCAACCTGCAGAATTCCCAGGGCATTTCACAGACTGGAAAATTCCCGTGGAATCTCCCAGATTGGGAAATTCCTATGGCATTCCCCAAACTGGAGCATTCCCAAAACATCTCCCAGACTGGAGAATTCCCATGGAATCTCCCAACCTGCAGAATTCCCAGGGCATTTCCCAGACAGGAAAACTCCCGTGGAATGTCCCACACTGGAGAATTCCCACAACATTTCCAAGAACAGAAAATTCCCACGGCATTTTCCAAACTGGAGCGTTCCCAAGTCATCTTCCAAACTGGAGAATTCCCGCAGCACTTCCCAACATGCAGAATTCCCAGGGCGCTTCCCAAACTGAGGAATTCCCACAACATTTCCAAGAATGGAAAATTCCCATGGCATTTTCCAAACTGGAGAATTCCCACAGCACCTCCCACACTGGAGAATTCCCAAATCATTTCCCAAATGGAGGATTCCCATGGAATGTCCCGAACTGGAGAATTCCCAGGGCAAGAGGGAACAGGAAGTTCCGGCTCTGCCGAGCGCTCTGGATCCCAAGGAAAATGTGGATGAGCCTGGAATTCTCCTGGGAAGCTCCCACCCTTCCCCCCTCTGCACTGGGATCACCAAATCCCACCTCAACCCAGCCCAGCTTCCCACTGGGAATTCCATGGGAAAAACGCCTCCACGAGCATCATTCCAACCCCAAATCCCACCAAATTCCTTCCTTATTCCCATAAAACCCTGGGAAAAGGACACAAGCAGGAGCCATTCCCTGCTCCGACAAAATTCCTCAGCTCCTGCTGAACTTCCAAACCCTGATTTCCAATCCAAATTTTTCCAAACCCACTTCTTCCAAACCCCAATTCCCAAACCCAATTTCCAAACCCAATTTCCAAATCCCATTTCCAAACCCAATTTTTCCAAATCCCAATTTTTCCAAACTTAATTTTTCCAAACTTAATTTCCAAACCCAATTTTCCCAAACCCCGGGAAGTTCCCGGCTGCGGGCAGGACCATCTGGACCTGCTGCTCGGCTTGGAATTAGTTTGGAATTCTTCCCTGACCTATTTTTTATCCGGAGCTGATTCCCAGACTTTCCATTGCTCCTGACAGCTTTCCGTGCTGGTTTTCCTGCTTTTTTTTTCCAAGGAAAATCACGGAGACACTCAGTCCCAGGTGCAGATCCCAATGGGAATTTAGGCCAGACCTTTGGAGGTCATTTATTCCCAAACTTTTTTCTTGGATTAATCAATTCCATGACCTTGCAGGCAAAGGAATTCTCAGGCTCTTCCCAAAATCCTTCCCGACTTTTCTATCCCACCCCAAATTCCCAGTTCTGGCTATCAGGGATAGGAAGCTGGGAAAAAAAAATGTGAGAAAGGATTTTTGGGATTGAGCCAAGCTCAGCTCCTGCTGCAAATTCCAGAAGAACTGATCCCTGTTTTCCTTCATTTCAGTGTTTTCATGGAATTCCAGGAATTTGGGTGAGAAAGGACCTTAAATCTCATCCAATTCCACCCCTTCCCAGGATCCCAGGCTGCTCCAGCCCTGGACATTCCAGGGATGCAGGGACAGCCAGAGAGAATTTTCTGGGAATTCTGTGCCAGTCCCTCCCAGGCAGGAATGTTTCCCTGAATTTTTTACCAGCTGCTGATCCCATGAATCAGTTGCTTTGTGCTGGGAATTCCCACTGCTCCCTCCATCGGCAGCTCTGGATCCATAAATTCCTCAGGATAATCCATGGAAATGCACCAAGTGTGGATTTTATTCCTGATCCCAACACACTTTTCCCTGGAATTCCTCCCATGGGGACACAGGAAGGATGGGAAAGGTGACCCAAAGGACCAAAATTCCCAAAATATTCCTTAAAAATGCAAATCCAACCAGAACAACACCCACTTTGCTCCTATTTCCAGAGGATTTTCCCTCCTTGCCCCAAATCCCAGATTCTGGGAATGAAATCCCTCGGGGATGTGAAAAGAGAGAAAAAAAATCAGGATTTCACAGCAGAGCAAATCCAGGACAATTCCAGAGCTTGGGAATGTCAGCCAGGCTGGAAAAGCAGCCCAAATCCCACAGGAATCTCTCAGACACTTCCAAGATCCAAAGTGGCTGCAGCTTCCATGGATGCAACACCAGGAAAATCCATGGATACAACACCAGGAAAATCCATTAATCCCACCCCCAGTCCATCCCTGGGATCCAGAGGAAAGGAAAAAAAAATGGGAAAAATCCAACTCACCAACATCGGACTCTTTGTGGGTTTTGATGATTTCCGCCAGCTCGAAATTCCCTGCAATGATGGCCACCTGGAAAAGAGCCGGAAAACCGGGATGAGCGGCTCCGGAGCTTCCATATGGATGGGAACAGCTGCTTTCCATGGGGGGAAGCCAAGGATTCTTCTGCCTCGGATCATCCGGGAATTCTGAGGTGCCAATGCCTTCCCGGGACAGCAGCCGGAGAGGGTTTGGGGGGCTCTGGCTTGGGGACAATCCCTGTCCCCTGGAATTCCCAGATTCCAGCCAGGAATTCATCCCAAATCCTGGAAAGCTCCCAAGGTGTTGGGTTTGGATCATGGGTAAAATCATGGAATTTGGAAGAGGTTTGGGATCAGCCAGTCTGGCTGGATGTGTCACTGACTGTGTCCCCAAGGGCCACATCCAAAGGATTTGGGGACATTTCCAGGAACTGGGAATGCCCTGGGCAGCCTGATCCTGATGGGAGGGGATTTCTCAGAGGACAAATTCCTAAATCCCCAAATTCCTAAATCTCCAAATCCACAGATCCCCGAATCCCCAAGTCCTCGAGTCCCCAAATTCCCAAATCACCAAATCCTGAATTCCTCAAGTCTCCAAGTCCCCAAATCCCAAGTCTCCAAATCCCCAAGTCCTCAAGTACTCAATCCTCAAATCCTCAAATTCCCAAGTCCCCAAATCCTTAATTCTCCAAATCCCAAAGTCCCAAATTCCCAAAATCCCTAATTCTCCAAATCCCCAAATTCCCAATTCTCCAGATCTCCAGGTCCCCAAATCCCCAGGTCCTCAAGGCCCCAAATTCCCAAATCTCCAAATCCTGAATTCCTCAAGTCTCCAAGTCCCCAAATCCCCTCAATTCCCAAAGTCTCTGAATCCTCAAATCCCCAAATCCTGAAGTCCCAAGTCCCCAGATCCTTAATTCTCCAAATCCCCAAATCCTCAAATCCCCAAGTCCCAAAATTCTAATTCTCCACATCCCTAAATCCCCAAATCCTCAAATCCCCAAACCTCCAAATCCCTTAATCCTCAAATCCCCAAATCCTTCAAGGATTCTGCTCCTTTTCAAGGGATTCTGCCCCTTTTGCAAGGATTCTGCCCTTTTTCCAAGGATTCCCCTCCATCTGAAACATTCACATCCCAAAAAACAACAACTTCCCCTTCCCACCTCCGTATCCCAAAAAACCCCCACATTCCCATCCTTTTTCCAGAATTCCATTTGCTTTTTCCTCCCTCCTGCTCCGGTGCTGAACGCTCATCCCAAATCCTGCCCCGGTGGGACAAATCCCACCTGAAAAACTCCCTGGATATGTGACAGAATTCCCGGGCATGCCGGGAAGCTCTGTGGGATTCCTGGGAATTCTGCTCACCTGGAACGCCGTCTGGCTGTTGTAATTCCGGATTTCCTTGCTGGCGCCTCGGAAGAGGAGAACCCTGGCACAGCTTTCCTGGGGGAAAAAAAAACAAAACAGGGAAAATGGGAATTAGACCAGGACCAGGAGCAACAGATCCAGAAAATTCTTTGGGAAGAAGGAGGATGAGCATTCCTTAAGGATTTGGTATTCCTGATCCTAAAGGTAGTAAATTATGGAATCATGGAATTCCAGCATTGATTGGGTTGGAAGGGATCTTTGGGAACACTCAGATCCAAATTCCAAGGTTTCCGCCTGTATTCCAAGGATTCCTTTCCTTTTCCGAGAGATTCTGCCCCTTTTCCAAGGATTTCTCTCCTTTTCCAAGGATTCTGCCCTTTCTCCCAAGATTCTCCTCCTTTTCCAAGGATTCTGCCCCTTTTCCAAGGATTCTCCCCCTTCTCCAAGGATTCTGTCCCACCAAAACATTTTGGGAATGGGATGGATTAAACCATGGAATGTTCTCTTGGGAAATCCCAAATTAGGCTGAGGCTCTGAGGAGAAATGGCCTCATCCTGGGACAGGGATGGATTCCACCCTCTGGATCTGGGAATGATGAGATCCAGGAGTGTCCCACTGTGGTGCCACCGCCCCCACGATGTCACTGTCCCCAAATCCCACAGATTCCACCACGGGATGATGCGTGGAACCCAAAATTGGGGGCTCCAAGGAGGAACAGCCTCATCCAAGGCCAGCGATGGATTCCACCCTCTGGATTTGGGAATGGGGAGATCCAGGAGTATTCCAGGCTGGTGTCACATTCCTCCTGATGTCCCCTGTCCCCAAATCCAGCCCTGGGACCCAAACCCAGGAGCTCTGAGGAGAAACAGCCTCATCCTGGGACAGGGATGGATTCCACCCTCTGGATCTGGGAATGATGAGATCCAGGAGTGTCCCACTGTGGTGCCACCTCCCTCATGATGTCACTGTCCCCAGATCCCACAGATTCCACGATGGGATGCTCTCCTGTGGAACCCAAAATCGGGGGCATTTGCTTTTTCCTCCCTCCTGCTCCGGTGCTGAACGCTCATCCCAAATCCTGCCCCGGTGGGACAAATCCCACCTGAAAAACTCCCTGGATATGTGACAGAATTCCCGGGCATGCCGGGAAGCTCTGTGGGATTCCTGGGAATTCTGCTCACCTGGAACGCCGTCTGGCTGTTGTAATTCCGGATTTCCTTGCTGGCGCCTCGGAAGAGGAGAACCCTGGCACAGCTTTCCTGGGGGAAAAAAAACCAAAACAGGGAAAATGGGAATTAGACCAGGACCAGGAGCAACAGATCCAGAAAATTCTTTGGGAAGAAGGAGGATGAGCATTCCTTAAGGATTTGGTATTCCTGATCCTAAAGGTAGTAAATTATGGAATCATGGAATTCCAGCATTGATTGGGTTGGAAGGGATCTTTGGGAACACTCAGATCCAAATTCCAAGGTTTCCGCCTGTATTCCAAGGATTCCTTTCCTTTTCCGAGAGATTCTGCCCCTTTTCCAAGGATTTCTCTCCTTTTCCAAGGATTTCTCTCCTTTTCCAAGGATTCTGCCCTTTCTCCCAAGATTCTCCTCCTTTTCCAAGGATTCTGCCCCTTTTCCAAGGATTCTCCCCCTTCTCCAAGGATTCTGTCCCACCAAAACATTTTGGGAATGGGATGGATTAAACCATGGAATGTTCTCTTGGGAAATCCCAAATTAGGCTGAGGCTCTGAGGAGAAATGGCCTCATCCTGGGACAGGGATGGATTCCACCCTCTGGATCTGGGAATGATGAGATCCAGGAGTGTCCCACTGTGGTGCCACCGCCCCCACGATGTCACTGTCCCCAAATCCCACAGATTCCACCACGGGATGATGCGTGGAACCCAAAATTGGGGGCTCCAAGGAGGAACAGCCTCATCCAAGGCCAGCGATGGATTCCACCCTCTGGATTTGGGAATGGGGAGATCCAGGAGTATTCCAGGCTGGTGTCACATTCCTCCTGATGTCCCCTGTCCCCAAATCCAGCCCTGGGACCCAAACCCAGGAGCTCTGAGGAGAAACAGCCTCATCCTGGGACAGGGATGGATTCCACCCTCTGGATCTGGGAATGATGAGATCCAGGAGTGTCCCACTGTGGTGCCACCTCCCTCATGATGTCACTGTCCCCAGATCCCACAGATTCCACGATGGGATGCTCTCCTGTGGAACCCAAAATCGGGGGCTCCAAGGAGAACAGTCTCATCCAAGGCCAGCGAAGGATTCCGCCTTTGGATTTGGGAATGGGGAGATCCAGGGTGGTGCCATGCTGGTGTCACCTCCCCCACAATGTCCCCTGTCCCCAGATCCCACAGATTCAACCTTGGGTCCCAAACCCAGGAGCTCCTGTGGAACCCAAAATCGGGGCCTCCAAGGAGAACAGTCTCATCCAAGGCCAGCGATGGATTCCACCTCTGGATTTGGGAATGCAGAGCCAGGAGTGTCCTGTGCTGCTGTCACCTCTCCCACGATGTCCCCTGTCCCCAGATCCCCTGGATTCAACCCCGGGACCCAAACCCTGGAGCTCTGAGGAGAAACAACCTCAAACAGCTTAATCCAAGGGCAGGAATGTGTTCCACCCTCTGGATTTGGGAATGGCGAGATCCAGGAGCGTCGCGGGCTGGTGCCACCTCCCCCGCGGTGTCCCTGTCCCCTGGCTGTCCCCGAGCCCGTCCCACCTGGTTGTAGAGGGCGCAGATGTGCAGGGCGGTGTTTCCTGAGGCGTTCTGCGCCGTCATGTCCGCTCCGTAGAACAGGAGGTGCTCCAGGTGCTGCACGTGCCCGTAGCGACAGGCCTGCTCCGGAAAACACGGAAAAGCGGGAATCAGGGAGCGGCGGGAATAAGGGAGCGGCCGGAACCGGAGGAATCCGCCCCCCCCAGCCCCAAAAAAATCATCCCCCGCTGGATTCAGCCAGGGAGTCTCCCGTTCTGTGGGAATGGGTGTGGCTCCTCACAGCTCCACCTGGACACCCGTGGGATAAATCAGCTCCGGATCAACGGGAAAATTTGGATCATCCCAGATCCGGTGGTGCCTCTAGCTGGGTGGTGGCTCGGGATGAACTCAGTGCCCTGAATCTCTGGGAAATTGGGATGTTTTCCTCCAGGTTTCGTCCATCCCGGGATTCAGGGATCGGCCAGGGAGGATGGAGGCAGCAGGGAGGGTTGGATCCATAAACTGGGATCACAGGACACATCCCTGGATTTTCTATCCCCAGCTGGGTGTTGTGGGAGATATTCCAATGGGATCCCATCCCTCCTTCTCTCAAAGGATCAGGAAGCACAAGGCTCAGGATTCCTGACTCCCAATCCACGTGTTTCTCCAAATCCCCTTGGAGAAAGGGGATTCCACGTGGAAAACAGGGATAGGCACAACTGGGATTTGGATCCAGGATCCCAAAGTGTTCTCCTTGGAGCCAGCCACCCTTTGGGAAGATCACAACCATGGAGAGAGGCCAGAAAATCCAGGATGGAGGCAGAGCTGGCCCCATCCAGCCGTCAATCCCAGAGATGGGACAACCCCATCCATGGACAGCATTCCCAGAGCCCAGCCCTCAGTGCAGGCAGGAAATGATCCCATCCACGGGTACCAGGGGAACATTCCCAGAGTTCAGCCTTCAATCCTGGGGATGGGACAACCCTATCCATGGACAGCACTCCCAGAGTCAAGCCCTCAGCTGCAGGCATGGAATGATCCCATCCATGGGTACCAGGAGAGCATTCCCACGGCTGGATCCCATCCCACCTGGTGGATCTCCATCCATCGACACCAGGAGAACATTCCCAGAATCTCCCTGTGGATCTTGTACCACCTGGTGGATCTCCTGCCCTCCACCACCGGGTAGATCTCCATCCATGGACAACAGGACAGTATTCCCAGAGTCCAGCCCTCAATCACAGGGATGGAACGACCCCATCCATGAGCACCAGGAGAACATTCCCGTGGCCGGATCCCATCCCCATGGTTCCATTGCACCTGGTGGATGTCCATCCATGGGCACTAGGAGAACATTCCCAGAGCCCAATCCTAAACCTCAGGCATGGAATGATCCCATCTGTTAGCACCCATCCCCTAGAGGGGAAAAAGGGAGGGGGAATCTGGGAAGGGGAGAGGAAAAGGGAGGGAAAGAGCAGGAGGAAGGATGGACAGAGGGGGAGGAGGAAAGGAAAAATCTGGGAAAGAGGAAGGAGGGAGGGAGGTAGGGAGGGAGGGAGGAAGGGAGGGAGGAGGAAAGAAGGAAAGTAGGGAAAAGGGCAGGAAGAAAGGGGAAAAAGGGAGGGAGGAAAAAAAGGGAAAAAAAAGGGAAGGAGAAAAGGATGGGAGGGGAAAAGGAAAGAGGAAAGGGGAGGAGAGGAAAGAAGAGAAAGGAAAAAGGAAAAAGGAAAAGTGGGAATGAGGATGGAAAACCCCGGCACTGACCAGCAGGGCCGCGTGATTCCGACACCTCACGGCTTTGTGCAGCGCCGTCATTCCCTCGCGGGTCCGGAAGTCCAGGTGGGCTCCGCCGTTCCGGAGCGCTTTGATCATCTCGGCGCTGAGCTCCAGCTGCGCCGCCGCCGTCAGCGGGCACTCTGGGAGGACACGGGAACGCGGGAGATCCATGGAATGTCCAGCACATCCAGGGGAATGGCTCCCCATGGGATCCCAGCTGGAAGCGCCCACCGAGGTCTCCTTGGGGTTTGGGATCGGATCCATGGGAATGGGGGCCAAATTTGGGAGCTGCTCCCTTCCAGGTATTCCCAAGGATCTCCTGAGCAGCGGGAGTGGGAACTGGATGGAAAATTCTGGGTTTAGGTGGCAAAGCAGCCAAGATATGTTGGGAATAGGATCTGGGAAACCGTGGATTCTTCTTGGCCCCTTGGGAATCCAAAATCTGGTGCTACCAATGGAAAAATCCTCATCCTGGGATAAGGGCTGGATTCCAAGCAGGAGAAGCCTCTGGATGCTCTCGACTTTCCCCAAGGCTGCTGCTACAAATCCCACAGATCCTCCCGGGAATCCCAAGAATTCCAGGATTCCCTCATTCCCTTGGGGTGCAGATGGGATCTCCAGAGGAGAGTGGGAATTATAAAATTTAAGGAATGCCACAGGATTGGGTCTGGAAACCCCATGGATAGAAAAGGGAGAAGGAAAGGCTGGAATTCCGTGTCCATGGCCAGTTTGTCCCGGCAGGAAATCATGGAAAAGGGGCTGGAATTCATGAGGAAATTAAGGAATGCCCGGGATCCGGAGTGGGAAAGAAGCAACAGGAGAAAGTTTTGCACATTCCATGGGAAAGTTCTGGATCCTTGGGATAAGGAGGGGATGGAGCGGGACCAGGGAAGGAAATGGAGCTGGGAAGGGGCTGGAAAACTCCAGAGCGATTTGGGATTTAGGCTCAGCCTGGAGCAGAGGCAGCTCCGGGGGATCCTTGGGATGGGAGGCCCTGGAATGTGCTGGAAGCTCTCCCTGGATCCCTCCCTTCTCCAGGGGAACATTCCCAGTTTTTCCAGCCTGGCTCCAGGTCCCTTTCCCTCCCCCATTCCCAATTCCCGCAGCAATTTTTCCCCCACATCATTTCAGGGATTTTGAATCCTCCTTTGTAATTCCAACGTTTTCCTGGGCTCCTCTCCCTCTCCCGCTGTCCCTCATTAAATATCCCTCGTTAAATATCCAAGGATTTTTTCTTCCCTCTTTTCTCCGGCAAAACCATCCCTGGGGTTTGGCTTTCATTCCAGAACAACGGAAGCTTCTCCCGGATCCGGGTTTTTTTTTTCATTCCCATTTTTTCAATGTCCCCACAGGTAGCAACTGTGAATTTTTTGGGCTTTTTCATCCCTTTCAAATCCCAGGAATCTTTCCTGGAATATCTTCCCAGCAACCCCGAAATGGGAACAGCAGCAAACGGGGCTGGAATTACTTCCCAAAGTGGATTTTCCCCTATTTTTCCATCTAAGAAGAGCCAGGAAAATGGTAATAAATCCTCTGCACAGCTTAAAACCTTTCCCAAAGTCCATTGAAATGAAGATTCCCAAAGTTTGGAATCCATGGGATCAGCTCAGGGTGTCCCAGGAAACTCAGGGAATTTTATGGCTCATCCCAGTCTGAAGATTCCCAAAGTTTGGAATCCATGGGATCAGCTCAGGGTATCCAAGGAAACTCAGAATTTTATGGCTCATCCCAGTTATTCCCAGTCCATGAACGGGATTCATCCCTGCAGAGGAATATTTTCCCAATATTTTTCATCCCAATCATTCCCAGTCCATTTATGGGATGAAATCCTGCAGGAAAGCATTTTTCCAAGCAGGATTTTCCAGTTTTCCATGGGGTACTTCCCATGGGATCCCCAAGGATCCATTCCCCAAAAATTCCAATGTGAAAAGTGCTGGCTCATTCCCGGCTCATTCCCACCCTGCTCTCCCAGCATCCAGCCCAGACTTCCTGGGAAATGCACGGGAAGCCAACCAACATTCCCAAAGAACCCCAAAGCTCCCAATCCTGGAATTTCTGAGGTATTCCAATCCCTTCATCCAACAGCGGCTGGGATTGGAAACAAGAACAGGAAGGGAAAACATTCCAAGAGGAAAAACGTGGGATTGTATCCCAGTGAACCCCAGAAGGGACTGGGAAGGGAAGAGTTATCCCTAAGGAATGCCGCATTCCCAAAATCCCCTGAAAAGCGGGAATTGCGCCATAAAACCCCAAAAACAACTGGGATAGAGTGGGAAAAATTCCAGAGGAAAGCCTGGAGGAATTCTGGGAAGGAATTGGGAATGTTGAGTTGATTCCTTCCGGGAAGCACTCCCGAATCCCAAGGAAAACATGGAACTGACCTCCGGTGTCGGGATCATGGAAGTTGGGATCCAGCCCCTTTTCCAGCAGCCGGCAAACCTTCTCCGAGTTCAGCATCTGCACGTATTCCATGAATTTCTTCAGGTTCGCCTGGATTCGGGAAAAAAACGCCCTGTTAACTTCCCGAAATTCCGGGAAAAGCCACCAGGGGAACACCCTCATCCCAAAAATCCAAGGAAAATCGGGGTAACGGGACTGAATTCCATCAGGATGGGACACAAATCCACGTGGAAATGTCGGGAAGCGAGGGGAAAATTTGGGAAAAGCTCCAAGGAAATGGAGAAGTTGAAGCTGGATTTCACATCTAAGGAAAAAATTCCAATTCCAACATTTCCCACCTTAATTCCATACGGGAAAATCATTCTTTTTAGGGATCATTTTAGGAATGAACCCCAAAAATGCCGTGTTTCCATTTGTGTTTGGATGATTTCCAGTTGGAAAGTTGGGAAAAAACATTGAAAATGCCAAGCAGGTTGAAGAAAAGGTTTGGAAGGGAATTTGGGAATTCTGGAGTGGTTTGGGCAGAATGGGAGCTGAAATCCCATCCCATTCCAAGGGCATGGACTCCTCCCTCCATCCCAGGTTATTCCAAAAATTCTAGGGATGAGGCAGCTGCAGATTCTTTGGAATTGCTGGATCATCCCATGGGAATTCAGGCTGCCAGTGCCTTCCCTCTATCCTAAATTTCAGTATTAGAATTTTGTTCCCCATAGTTGGAATTCCCAAAGATTCACCTCAAATTCCCAAATAGTTGGGATTTTTCCTGTTTTGTTTTTTTTTTTTCTGGCTGGATGAAGACATTATTAAATTCCTGGATTCCGGGAATTGCAGAGGCAGGAATGGCTGTGGTGGGAAAATCCCAGCTCCTACATTCCCAGATTTCCAGACTTTACACTGGAGGATTTTTTGGGAGTTTATTCCAATCCAACCATGCAAAATCTGGGAAAAGTCCTGGAAAATCCCAAGAGCTGGAATTCAGGCCCACCGTGCCCTTGGAGCCGGGAGAGGCCGGAGCAAATCCATGGATCCGCCTCCCGCTGCCAGGCAGCAGCAAATGGATTCATTGATCCCACAGAAACAGGGAATTATGGATTTGCTCCATGCCGGGACAACGCGGAGCCTCTGGAATTGCACAACTCCCCGTGGGAATCTCCAGAGCCAGGCACCGGGAATCCTGGAATGGTTTGGGTGGGAAGGAACCTCAGATCCCACCCCAATCCCGTCCCATTCCAAGGGCAGGGACTCCAGGATGGGTCTCCCTTCCCTTTTCCATCCCCAGCTTCCATAAAAATCCCTCGGGATGGATTCTGAGCATCCTTGATCCCAGAATCCCGGAATGGTTTGGGTGGGAAGGAACCTCAGATCCCACCCCAATCTCCCTTTCCCAGGGAATCCTGTCCATCCTTTAGAATCCCAGAAAATCCAACATTCCCCTCCCCGAGGCCAGACAGAGCCACAAATCCCAGGAAAGCCCCATCCCGGGACACAGAGCCAGCGCTTCTACTTTTCCAAGGAAAACCTCAATATTAAACAGGTGGAAGACCAGGAATTCCCAGGAATTCACCAGGAACTGAAGCAGGAATTCCCTGGATTTAAAGGAGAAACCTCCCAGGAGCTGAGGCAGGAATTCCCAGAAATGGAAGCAGAAATTCTCAGGAACCAAAACAGAAATTCCCAGGATTTGGAGCAGAGACCCCACAGAAACCGCAGCAGGAATTCCCCAGAAACTGAAGGAGGAATTCCCCAAAAAACAAAGCAGGAATTCCCCAGGAACTGAAGGAGGAATTCTCCAAAAAAACAAAGCAGGAATTCCCAGAAACCCTCAGAAACTGAAGCAGAAATTCCCAGGATTTGAAGCAGAAATTCCCAGAAACTGAAGCAGGAATTCCCCAGGAACTGAAACCAGAATTCCCCAGCTCCCAACCCTCATGGAATCTGTGTGCTGAATTCCAGCCGTTCCCTGGATGATCCCTGCCCGTTATCCCGATGTTCCCAGGGAATGTCTGTGCTGAATTCCAGCCGTTCCCTGCATGACCCCATTCTGGGAACGATCCCTGCCCGTTATCCCGACGTTCCCCTGGATCCGGTACCGTTCCCGAGGCTCTCCGGGTGTCCCGGTGTCCCCGTGCCAGCCAGGATCCCATCCCTGCTCCCGCTCTCTCCGGATCCAGCTCCAATCCCAGCCTTTTTTCCCGGGAGCTGCTCCAATCCCAGCTTTTCCCGGGAAAGGTCGATCCGTGCCCGCTGTGCCGGCATCGCTCCAACGGGCACGGAACGAGGATGGATTGGCTGGAATTGTCCCTTTGGCTCCTATCCGGCATTCCCAAATAACCCACGGGACTGGAAAAGGCCAAGGAAAGGCTCCTTCCCAAAATCCCACAGGGTCTGGAACTACAGCCGTCCAAGGAAAAGGGGAAAAGGAAAAAGGGGAAAAAAGAGGGAAAAAAAGGGGGGAAAGCAGAAAGAAAGGGAAAAAAGGGGGAGAAAGGGAAAAAAAGAGAAGAGGGAAAAAGGAGGGAAAAAGGAGGGAAAAAGGAGGAAAAAAGGAGGAAAAAAGGAGGAAAAAAGGAGGAAAAAAGGAGGAAAAAGGGAAAAGGAAAGCTCCTTTCCAAAATTCCACAGGCTTGGGACAAGCAGCCAAAGGAAAAGGGAAAAGGGAGGTGGAAGATAAATCCACGATCCAGGATTTCAGCACCCCATGGATGCTCTTCCTGCTCAGTCCCACCCTATGGAATAAAATCCAAGGAAATCTGGATAAAATCCAAAAAAATCCAAGAAAATCTGGATAAAAATCCAATAAAATCCGGGGGAATCTGGATAAAAATCCAATAAAATCCGAGGAAATCTGGATAAAAATCCAATAAAATCCAAGGATATCTGGATAAAATCCAATAAAATCTAAGGACATCTGGATAAAATCCAATAAAATCCAAGCAAATCCGGATAAAAATCCAATAAAATCTGAGAAAAACTGGATAAAAATCCAATAAAATCCAAGGATATCTGGATAAAAATCCAATAAAATCTAAGGACATCTGGATAAAATCCAATAAAATCCAAGCAAATCCGGATAAAAATCCAATAAAATCCAAGGAAATCCGGATAAAAATCCAATAAAATCTAATAAAATCTGGATAAAAATCCAATAAAATCCAAGGAAATCCGGATAAAAATCCAATAAAATCCGAGGAAATCTGGATAAAAATCTAATAAAATCCAAGGATATCTGGATAAAATCCAATAAAATCTAAGGACATCTGGATAAAATCCAATAAAATCTAAGGACATCTGGATAAAATCCAATAAAATCCAAGGAAATCTGGATAAAAATCCAATAAAATCCAAGGAAATCCGGATAAAAATCCAATAAAATCCAAGGAATTCCAAAGAAATCTTCCCAACTGCTCCTGTTTGTGTTTTGGCAGCAGGAATGCTGGGGTTCTTTGGGACGTCCCGGAATCCCGGGGCCGGAGGGGTTTCCCAGGGGTGTCTCCAGGGGTTTTCCATGGGAATTCCGCGGGAATTCCGCGGGATTGGGGCTCACCTTGGTGTGCAGCTTGGCGAACTGCTTGTCGTCCAGCAGCGGCTGGGAATACACGCGGCGCTTGTAGCGGAACTGCGAGATAAGAGATTGATAAGAGATCGATAAGAGATCGATAGGTGATTGACAGGAGATTGACA